ACTCGAACCGCTGAAGCGTCGACCATTTCTGGCCAGCAACTTTCAGTGTCATTAAGCCGCTGCGCCACTGCGTCCCCCAAAGCTGTTTTAAGCAAACACAAAGCTAGTCATACTTGCCACAACTGTCAAGTTTTCTGTGTTGTGATTCATGCACCTTTTTTTTTTTCCTAAAGAGCCTTAGATTGCTATCTTAAATGTATTTCAAGCTATCCCCAAATCAGTTGAACCTCTTTTTATTTGGAAACCCACCCACCCACATATGTATATCTATATATTTGGATATATTTATCTATCCAAATATATGTATGTGTGTGTGTTTGTGTGTATGTATTTTGTGTATGTGTGTATGTGTGTGTGTGTGTATTCTCCACACATTCCAAATCTTTCAGCAGGAAAATATTAAAATATCAACTCCCACCAACTGGGATATTTTTCCAAGTTCAGTGGCATTACTATGGGTGCATAATTATAAATTTAAACTGAACCAATCTCACATATCACATTAAGCACTGAGCTTAATCCAGTCTTGAACAAGTGCATATGGATTACATAAAAAGTATACTCTTGCCTGTTGGCTCTGTATTGTGTTATATTTTAGAAGCCTTGGTGAAAGACAACAAAGAAAACGACGATGAAACCTGGTCTGCCTATGATGAGCACAAGGCTTTGTATGTTCTTCAACACTGGGATGAAATGCCTGAGTATGGATGCAAATTAGTACCAGAACATGTGGAAGTCCGATCTATTTACAACCCAGAAAACCCTGGTATTCTGCAGGTAAGAGCAGAAAGTTGGTTTACACATACTATAGCACTGTTATATTTTGCATCCAGCATTTACATATGTATCTGTAGCCTAACAGCTGTTGCCTGCAAAATATATGTAGGAACACATGTACAGCCTCCTGTTCTAGCACAGCCTTCCCCATCTTATACATTCTGTTATGGGACTTCAACTCCCATAATGACCGTCCACGGCCAGAAGGCTGCTCTAATACAATCACAGCACCATGGGTTGATGCTGTCAGTCAGTTCCTGGTGACTTTATAGATATGACAGTATAGATTTCTTGGCATAATTGCAAAAATGGATAAAACCAACAAGCAAACAAACAAATAAAAAGTCTTATGTTGATTTTTTTCCTAGAGCAAATGTGTCAACATTTTTCCTAAGCTTTTTAGGAATGTGATTTCAGTTACTCAATCTGTATAAGTCCTGAGTTTAGAGGAAGTGGGGGGACGACAAGTCCTGCTGATCCAATCTTTCTGGACAGGCCCCAAACAGGGGTGCTATCTAGCCAGTTTGGTCTGATTCCCACAAACTGTTTTTTCTTTTTTCTACACAACTTGACAAGGCTGGCTCAGGGCTAGGAGATACCCAAAAGTCACACTGAGAATCTCAGGTTCTTTTGTACCTTGCAATGGGCTGGACTGTAGCTGAAGAGAGAATTCTTTTCCACTCTGCAAGTATATTCCTGCTACATCTTTCTGCTGAACTCATCTTCTTCCATTCTTCAGGGCAGGTGTGGGGCAAGGGACATGAAGAACCATGGGGAAACATAGACTAATGATTTTGGACCTGACCTGATCCTCCTGGCTATGAATGAAAGGATGAATGAAAAATCCTGCATAGTTGCCTAGACAACACATTGTCTTATTCTCTCTTCACATTGCAATTCACAAGTTGCAGTGTAAAAATGCAGATGCATGGAATAATATTGAGCAGCTTAAGCTATTGACCAACAAAGAAGAGAACATTGTCAAGTGACAGCAGCTTCAGTGATTTTTTTTGTTTTTCCAGGGCTCTCTCCACATGTGGATCGACATGTTTCCAAATGATGTCCCTGCACCTCCACCTGTCAACATCAAACCTCGTCTTCCGATCAGGTAGGGGCCTCTGCAAACAGGAATATGAGTCAATACTTATTTTATCTTTATAGAATTTGTTATGTATATTGTGTGCCCTGGACAAAGATTTGTGACTTGAAATCCTCTGCTACTACAAGCACCTAACCTCTTTTACCTACTTTCAAAATGGAATGCAAATTGTTTCACATTACACATGAGTGAAAAATGCATTTAATATGCTGGAGAAAGGGTAATTATAGTTAATTTCATGGGGATGCCTTTTCAAGTGGAAAGCTGCACACTTGTGTCTAATATGCTCTTAAGAATGGAAAGTAAAATATATACATAATAAAGCAAGAGGAAATCCAGTTGTATCATGCTACAGAATTAATGGGGTGACAAACAGCAGGCTAGAGCTAAATCTACAATAACTCAGTGGTGTATGAGAAGAATCTGTAATTCTAATATGGAAACCCTGGAAATCATATTGAATACATGTTATTTTAGCATTAAACCAAAAGTAGAGAATCTGTAATTAAGGGTTTGTTTGCCAAAGAGATCTTTTTGTACCAAGGCCATGGGCAAGGGACTTTTCTACCACCCATCTTATATGCATTCTTTGCAATTAATGAACAAATCAATCAACAAATTAATCAGGATATACAAGAAAATCATTATGTCTTTGGTTCTTTTTCAGTTATGAACTACGTGTTATTATCTGGAATACAGATGATGTGATTCTTGATGATGTCAATCCAATAACAGGAGAAATCTCCAGTGACATATATGTAAAAAGGTGCATTTGCTGGGACAGGTTTAGACAATCAGAAATCTGTCTCTGGGCCAACCTACCTGTTTCATTAAATGTGTGAACTGGACTTTTATATATTTGTATTTGCGTGTGGAAGATTAATCTGCATTCATAATTATCCTGATACAAATTCCTCCTAACCCATGGTTCCTTTTGTGTTTTAAAGAAACAGGCACAAATCATGCATTTCATGTGATCTGAACTTTAGCTCACTCTCAGTTTGTGAATTTTTCCTTTGTCCTGCTATTTGGGAATTAATAAATTTAGCATGATTTTTCGTTTTTTGTAGCAAATATTAATCTGATGACATAGACTTCGTGTTTTGCCCTAATATATCCTCTAGTTGGGGCACCTAAATAATGCTGCTGCTTCTTTTTTTCAAGTTTGCATATGAAAATACATGTCCTATATATAAAAATGTGGATATTTATAATGTGACAGAGGCTAGGGGGTATGCGACTGAGACATATAGCCTTCAGGCATGCATGAGCAAATCTGGATTCCTTGCTCCACCATTGTCTTATTTAGGATGTATTCTGTGTCATCCTTATGCTAAAATGTTGCTAGATGCTAATGAAAATTCTTCTGCAGCTGGATCAAAGGACTGGAGAAGGACAAACAAGAAACAGATGTTCATTTTAATTCCTTAACCGGGGAAGGCAACTTCAACTGGCGGTTTGTGTTCCACTTTGATTACCTTCCAACTGAGAAAGAGATTACCTACAAAAAGAAGGATTCTATTTTTTCTTTGGAGGAGTCGGAATTCCGTGAGCCGGCTGTCCTAGTTCTTCAAGTCTGGGACTATGACAGGATTTCAGCAAATGATTTCCTAGGTATTCTTTTAAACATACAGAATTTGAATGTTAGCTTGTTTTAGTGCATGGCACAAATAAGTGAAAATCTAGGAGAAAAAGACCTTCTAAAACTTTGCTCCCAGTCATCTGAAATTGATCTGCTACTTTAAAGGTGTTCTATTCTCCTATTAAGGTAGTTAATATGAAATAAGGAGGGAGCCAGAAACAGGAAAAAGAACTACTGTATTTCTGTACCTACTGTTATTCAGAGGACATCTCCCATAATGCCAGTGCAACTGATTTGCAAGTGCCTCTTCTCCTTACTAAGTCTTGGATGTTTTATGCAGCTATGTGTAGCAGAAGTAATCTTACCTATTTATATATATAAAATCTGTGTCCAGCTGGTGAAACAAAAATGAATATGCAGCACCACCCAGTGGTTACAAAGCTATCACAGTATAGTACAAAGTCTAGAACTTCAGGGTGATTTTGCTGGAGTTCAGAAACATTGATTGAATCTGTTTGAGTATCAATCGCATTTATTTATTTATTTAATTGGACAGCAATTAAAATATCAGATGCATTTGTTCTGGTGGCATCTTTCAGACATCAGTTTTACTTAGGTAATATTAGTAATGACAATAGTCTCAATTGTGACCAGAGATTTAAGTTAGAGATAATGTTTTTAACTAGTGGAGGTGTTAGATTCTGGGAAAGCTATGAAGCCAAGAGACCTGTAATAATCTAAGTAAATGGTTAATAAATGTTATGTAATATTTTTGTCTAGCAGGTGGCTGGACTTTGTCTGGGCTCAGAAGCCAAGCAAGGTTAGGCCTGATTAATTCTTGGCTGCGAGACCACCAGAAATTCCAGGGTTATAAAGTAGGCTGAGAAGTCAGGAAATATTGTGGAAGAAGAAAATGGCAAGCCACTTTCCTACTGTTACCAAGATAACTACTTGGATGTGTCCAATACAAGCTTCAGTTGAGATTCCCTTTACTTAGACATTTTCTGATATCCCTAGGTAGGTTTTCTTAGTTAGTCTGTCCTCACCCCATGTGAAAGGAAGATCTATATGGATATCAGGAACTGTTTTAAGAAGAGGTCAGGATGTTTTGTGTTGCCAGTGTAGAGCTGTGGGTGTCAGAGCTAGAAGAACCAAGGTCAGATGTAAAGAACCTGAAACCAGATAGTCCATTGGGAGTGCAAAGATGGAGACAAGAGATGTAATCTATCATTCTGGTCCAGTGTGGGTTGGTACATTTTTTTGTGTATGTAGTTGGCAGCTACTAATTTCCTGCTTTGATTACAGCTTTTCTAGTATCTGTAATATAACAGGGTTATAAAAGAACTGATTCTGTGCTCTGAGTAACAAACTGAGTGAAGCCTGACAGCAGGAAGTTCTGTGAAATGAACTTCACCAGCTATGAGAGTTATGCATGAATAAAGTAACACATCAAAATTCAAGAAGATTGTATAGTTCAAACAAGACTCAACTAGAACAGGAAGCCGGTTTATATTTCTTCCTTCCTTCCCAGGAGGACCCAGTGATCAGCCTGTCAGTTGGGTTAGATCAGATGCTGAAGTTACTTCACTGAGAAGTTACTACCTTCAGTCAATATTTCATCACATGAGCAAGTTACACCAGATTTAGCAGTCTGTGATAATGGTGCATAATTGCATCAAATCTTAGTTCTGAAAGATTAGTATAGATGGGCTTTGTTCAAGAATTGACTAAAGAATAGTTCTTCAGCCCAGAATATGGGCTTATCTGTCTTCTTGTACTACCTTTAAGAGGAAGTCTGAAGAAAAGGGGGTTCACCCTTTTTTCCCAAGCCAGATTGCTGTGCCCTCTTTTTCTGTGTGTGACTTGGTCAAACCTATCTTATTTTACCCTTATCCATCTTGCAAGCATCTTTCTACTTGTGCCACGGTGCCATGGTGTTGGGAGGCTAATGGTTAGAAGGTTGTGCTTTGAGCAGGTTTCAGTAAGATGACTTTATGATCCAGTCATTCTGTGATTTCTGCAATAATGTTACAGGTTGTTAAGATTTGATGCCATGCTAGCTGCAACCAAAATTAATATAATTTCCAGTAAATTAAACTACTGAATTCTTACTGGTTTTGTAATTATTTCATATATTGTATAAGTGGTCAGTGCCTGAGATTTTCTCTTCTTTGCTGCCTTTCTAGGGGCCATTGAGTTAAAGCTGAATGATATGGTGAGAGCAGCCAAGAGTTCAGAGCAGTGCACTATCAAGATGGCCAAGGAAAAGGCCATGCCACGGTTTTCTATCTTTCGAAACAAACGAATGAAAGGGTGGTGGCCCTTCATTAAACTGAAAGGTCAGGAAGACATTGAAAGGGAGGAGAGGGAGGCTAAGCAGAAGAAAAAGAAGAAGAAGAAGAAGAAGAAATGGAGGAGATCAGTTAAGCCAGAAGATGTTGAGTTTTCAGATCCTAGTGGGAACATCTTCATCTTAACGGTAAGAAAACATGCAGCAATATTGAAGTGATGTCTGAAATGCTAAGGGGTGAATGTGCAGGCTCAAACCCATCCCTTAAAAACATTTCTGTTTTCCTGGTCTCCCTATTCCTGCTTGCTTCTTTATCTAAGATCAAGCTGGCAGGCCATAGCTTTCTGACAATGGTGATGCTTCCTTTTGGAACTCCCTTTTACAGAAAGTCACCAGGCTGAATCCATCCTCAGTTTCCAGATATATATATATATATATATAT